CTCTCCTCACTTCTCAAATCAAGTTACAAAATTGATTCCATGCCAGTTACAAGGGGCAGAGCTGTCACTTACCAGGGAGATTAACTCTTGCTTTGTTGAATACTGACGGGGACCAGCGAAGGGCGAGACCCAGGCAGAATGCTGGGCATTCTAATTCCTGGCAACTTCCACATCTGAAGTAGAACTAAATCGACAGCTGTAATTTGCACCACTGTACAAACCAGAGTAAGGTAAACCTAAAGAAGGAATTTAAGGAAGTCTCAAACCAAAATTGATTTTTTGTCATCTCTGTGGTTCCTTGTGCCCAGACTGGTTAGCCCTTCGGAGGGGTGGATCCTAGTCTTCCAGGGCTCAGAGTCCACATTCTCATACTTAGCCAGGTGGACCAATAAAAAACGTTTGGGGCCCAAACATTGGTGTAATGATGGCTTTGCCTGGTTCCAAAATGTTGAAGAACTCTGTGGGTGGGAAAGTCAGGTGAGTTGAGGAAAAGATACCAAAGATCCAAACTGCCAAGTGACACATCCCGCCAGTATAGACTGTTGCCCATTTACATCTGGGGCTCTGTAAAATTCTTTCTACACTGTGGTCAGATCTGCGAACGCCACAGTGGCTGCCTAGCCATCCCCTAGCAAGATTTCTTTTAAGCACTGCATTTTTGCCCTGTGGCTTTAGATGACATCATTCTGATGTTTAAATGTATCTAAAGGGACCCTCAGTGCCCTGTCAAATATCACACAGCTCAGCATAGACTATGCCAAGAAAAAAAATGCTGTGAATATATAAACTTAGAAAAAATGTAAGAGTGTGCATGTGTATATGTGGGTCAGGGGAAACTACTGAAAGAAGTGACAGTACAACTTATTTTTTTCTTATAGGCTTCCTAATTTTCAGACAAGTTTGAATAGGCACACAAACGGGGGGTATATTGAGAAATTACAGAACTTAAGTTACATTAGAGAAGTCCACTTTTATAATAAAACCATTGACTCACAGACAAGAAAAATTTGGGAAGTTGCCTAGTGGCCCTCTCCCAGTTATAATACATTGCATTTGAAACTTCTTAAAGAAGGGATAAGCACTTCATTTGTTATCCTTCATCTGGAGCTCTTAATCAAGTTCTCAGGAATGACGAGTAACAGAATGGGGCCTCTGTCCAAACCTTGGATCAGCTTGACTCTGGTGCTTTCCCTGGGCTACCTGAGTTAAGTTGCTTTTTTTCTGTTTCTCCAGAGAAGAATGATGGCAATCCTGTTTCCATTTAATTCCCCCCAAGCTTGTTGGAAAGAGCCATTCGTGTATGTTTTATTCTTTATGCCTGTAAGATCTTGGGATGAAATACTCTCAATAAACCACAAAGCCTATTACTATTTTAAGTACTTGCATCTTCCAGGAGAAGGAACACACTGGCTCCCTGCAGGAGAAATAAATGAAGTCAGCTTTCTGGCTGGCACATGGTCTTTAGGAAAAAATTGAAAAAGACACAGATCTTCTTGTTCTGTCTACTGCAGAAAATGTGTCCAGCTCTAGTAAAGCAAAGCACGAATTTCAGAGGAGTTACATGTTCCATGCTCTGTGCTACACAGATCGTTTTTTTGTTGTTTTTTGTTTGGTTTTTTTTATTTTTTCTTTTTGGTCCAAAAGAACAAACTCTGAACACACAAAAAAAGAGAGGATACCAGGGTGTAGATAAAATGCTTTTCCTAAGATGTGTATGAGACAGAACATGTTCTTTCTCTTATTTTAGTGTCTTGTTTCATAGCTGTGAAAGAAAGAAAATGACTTTGACTACCTGTATTTCAAATGATATGTGCAGTTTGAGGGAACACCTGGCACTTGTCAACAAAACAGCATGCAAAAATATTTTGCTCTATTTTCCCATTGTAATCTCTTAGAGATTTTTTTTTGGGGGGGGTCCCTCTCTTTGTGTTCTTGTCAAGATTGACAAGCATCTGTGTGCTACCAAGTGACACAAAGTTCTTGCTTGAATAATCATGACTAAAACCCAGGCTATTTCAAAGCGCGTTATTGACTCTGAGAGCCACCCACTGGATTGACTCCTTCTGAATTAACTCTGACTGATAGCATCCGTGCGGTAGTGCTTTTACCCCAGATTGTCAGGTCCTCCCATGTTATGAGTTGTACTGCTAAAAAGGTTTATTTTATTAATATTACAGGAAACCCTACATTTAGGAATTAAATTGAGTCAGAGGCAGACAAGAACTGAAAGTGAAGTGGGTAACACTGTGTTATTGACCTTCCTTCGGGATGGGGCCTGCATAACGCCATTGCTGGGAGTAAGATGGCAAAACCCATGGGACACTTAGAATGGAGACAGCAGTGGTTTTTAATGAAGAGTCATGAAATCATGTTTTACTCTCAGCATATACTTAGGTTTTTTTGGAAGACAGTGTGATAATCTCTGATGTAAATTGCCAAAAGGGCCGTTATGTTGGGATATGCTGAATGTGAGACCTTGAGTCCCCTTTTCTCTTGCCTAACGCTAAGGGTGGCTCCAAAAATTCTTACAGGAAGGGCTTAGAAGCAGCCTTTGTACAAGCCTACTGTTTTCACTTAGATGCTGTTTTTTTGTTGTTGTTTTTTTGTTTTTTTAGAATGGTTTGGCTATTTGGCTAATCACCTCGCGCCCACTCCTCAAGCAAATGAACCCTTGGTGATGCTGTTGACCAATTCCTTGGGCAATGAAATTCCATTTTTACACACACACACACACACACAAACACACACACACACAGAGTTTTGCAAATTTACTACTGACAGGGTCCACTTTAAAATAGGCACACATGTGTTTAACCAATGAATGACTTGACTAATACAGTGGAATGTATCAAACTAAAAACTGACAGTGAATATTGGCTTGCTTATTTATAATCATTTCAGAAACACTTGTTTTCTAGAGGGACAGTGCAAAATCATGTTTTTCACAGCTTTTTTACCAACGCTTTCCTGAAGGATGCTTATATTATCAGCAGAATGAAACTAAGCCTTACAAACAATCTCTGAAAAACTTTTGCCAACAATTGCTAAAAAACTGCTAGAATGGTCAATGAACAATTCATCAGAATTTTCTTGAACTATTTTTTTATGACACCTAGATGATATACATTCCTACAATAAGAGATAAAAGACTCTAATGATTTTCACTGGGAGATTCCAATACATACATGTGTTTTATTCACCAAGATTTCTCCTGTGATTCTTTTTATAAAGCACCTGAGGTGACTCAAGCATTCCAAATACTTTGTGACCAAGCAAACAAAGTGTGGTTCACGCAGCAATGCTTACAGTCCCATTTCTGGTATGGCCTGCTTCCGATTAGACTGTGCATCACTATCTATTGGGAACTGGCCTTTTAGTCAGGGGCTCAGTCACTTTCAAATTATTTTAGTCCCCAGTTTTTCATTTTGTCCCTTTTCTCTAATCTGTGTGTTAGATATCCTTCACGTTGGAGTGATCCTGAGAGATCCTGCACATCTCTCAACTCGGTGGAGGGGCGGTGTCAGCCTCCGGAGAGGTTGATTACTCCTTAAAGCATAATCTAAAATCGTCATCTTTTCAGCACTTCCCCTGCTTCCTTAGGTCACTGTCATAATCTTTCTGGGCCAATAGCCTTATAATTTGCCTCAGTGACACTCGGGTGTTGTTTTGGGGGTTCTCATTTCTACAGTTAACCTGTGTAGCTATGAAAATTTACTCCATGCCCTTCACCATTCTCTTACAGCCTACAATAGTTATCAACTAACCATTTTCTATTTTGTATGAACGCCTCATCCCGTTTTGACTACTTCTAAAAATGGTTTCCTTTAACTTTAAGCTTCTACTCTTAAAGTTCCAACCCACTTTGTTTTTCTTAAAAATCTATTTCTCCCATATTTATGCATAATATAAATGCTTGAATTTTACCATTATTCTATAAATCATTATTATGCTTACACATAATGGCTACCTTATGTTGTGAACTTTGAAAGTACAGATAAGCTTTATTCTTCACTGCACTGAACACAATGCCATGATCACTTAAATGCTTTTGATGATGATGATGATGATGATATGACAACGTAATGCTGTTCTGGTTTGAAACAACTATCAATAGGTGGTCCAGTACATCCCTTTTTTTTTTTTTAATGTGAGTTGTTCCTCTTTCTACAAAGCTGTCCTTCTTCATTAGCAAAAAAGGTTACAGTGAATTATAATTAGTGTTTAGTGCCCTGTCAAATAAGTATAATGAAAAGCTTTCAATGAGTTTAATGTTAACATGGTATAACTAAAACCAAGTCTTGAAATGCATTTAGGTGTCAGATATTTGAGGCTTTTTCCCCCTGCAGATGAAAATTTTAAATTGTGCTCATAGCAATGTCGTCATCAGTGACAAAAACTCACGACTCAGGTGCAAAATGGGCTTGACCGTACCCAACCAGAGTAACATTCAGAAAAGCAAATCAATCACTTATACAACCCTTTTATTTACTGAGAAGGAAACTGAGTGCCAAAGATACTGTGTGACTTGCCCAAGGTCACACAGTGGTTAATTCTTCCACTATAGTCAGAAGTGAGGTTTTGGGTTGTATCGAAGCGATTATTATTACCATCATTATTTATTTCTGAAGTTTAAGATGTTTGCTGGAAATATGTTTATTATGTCTTTTTCTTGGTGGGGTGAAAAATATATATGCAAAGCAAAATAACAATTTGCATTTAGTTATCATATTTAATAGTCATTTTAGGATGCAGGGTTTGCCATAGTGCCTATTGTCAGGCTCAAATACAGAAACAAGGCTGAAATCTCACCATTTTCTCATCAGGATAACTGGAAAGTGCCTAGATATTTGGCCATTTCTAACCCTGCATTCTTTGAGCTTCTCAGGCCTTCTCTGTATTGTCTCTTCTGTCCACAAGATTTTGAAAAATCAGCAGAGCACAAGTAGCCCCTGAAATAAAGGCGTCATTCAAGGAACAAAGAAGTAGAAGGAGGGCTCCAATTAAAACGATGAAAATCTTTAATTTTTATTTAGGTATACTTGTACGGACACGTGTATATACAAATACAGATTGTATGGTTTTGTTTGTGTGTGGGTTTTTGTTTTTTGTTTGTTTGTTTTTACATTTTTTACGTTTATATAATGTCAGCATTTCAAAACAGCACTCGATGAGTAAGTGCGAAGGGACTGCAAAGCAGGGCAGCACAAGCACAGGACCACACGGAGCTGGACTTCACACCCAGACGCACACACAATGAGTGGCTTCAATGGGGTGTCAGGAGTAAGCATGGAAAGCGGATTTTGACTCATGGGTAACCTCCAACATGCCAGCATCTATTAAACTGTACAGACAACGGGAGCAAGCCCATTGTAGGGAGATTTGTCTCACATCCGAGCAGCTCTGGGGCAAACGCCTGGGAAAAACTCAGTGATGCCAAACCAGAGACAGACCTGCCCATTCACGGCTCTGGGGGAAAATAAAATGTGGGAGGAAGGCGAGAGACAAAAAATAATAATAATAATAAACACAAGAAATAAAAGGGGGCTGTAGGCAAACGGGTGTTGGTGGAGGTGGTTTTTCAAAAGCAAAACTCGTGACCACGGTTCTGTGGAGCAATGAATGGAGGAGAGGAGCTTAAACTGTTTTACTAATTTGGGGGAAACTAATAAAAATGGACGCTGCTGTTGCCAAAGCACTAGAGAAAAACAAAGTCCCTGGAAGTCCACAGGTACTGGGTGACTCTTCCTTTCACAGTGACACAGAGGGAAGCAGCCCCCATGTAACCTGCCTCAACGAACCGTTTGCAATCGTTCCCACGCGGGGGCTGCGTGATACCGGCAAGACGCTTCCTGGGAAAAATGAATCTGTGTGAAAAACATCACACACAGAAAAACAAACCGAAGCACAGAACCGTTTCTAAATTTCCTAAACCTTTTCAAACCAACATGCTGGGGGCAGGGGGAGGTAGGGACACCATAGGGCTCCAACATCAGACCTTGAAAACATTGAGGACAAAATATTGATCAAAAAGTCATGTTGTTCCAGGTCCCAAGATGGTGGAGTCTTAAGATTGGGAGGGCGATGACCACATGTGAGTCCTGTATGGAACAGTGTCTCAGCCATTTGTGACTCTTCTCAAGCAAGTATACATTGGATGTTTCAAAGCCTCAATGCATGTTTTGTATCCTGAAAGACTATTGTTCTCACTTACAAAAGACATAAGAATCAAATTAATACTTTATTATCAAACACTATATACAACAGAGGTTGCTAATACAGAATTTAAAGAACGCATTTTTTTTTTTAATGTTTTACTTTTCTTTCCTCTGCCACCCAAGAAAGTACAGTACAAAACAATAGTCTAAACTAACACCAACTGTTACCTGGTCTATTAAAGGATACACGGTATCCACTAAACAGACAGATCCTTACTTCCCTGCTTCACGTTGCAAAGCCCTTGGCAACCAGGGGCAAAGGTCGCTGGGGGTTGACTAAATGGAGCTGAGAGGCAGCTAAGGCTGCCCTTCAGACTTTTGAATTGTTTTTGAAATTGAAAGCTGCTATAAAGTTGCATTGACATCCTCCAAGCCCCCAGAGGGTTGTAACACCACCACAAAAGGCCACCAGCATGTTTTGGACAAGACGAAAACTGTCTGATACCAACCATCTCCTTGAAAACTCCGTGGCAAGCATTACCCACAATCACATCACTTACAGGTAGAGAAGCACACTGTCTACTGGCGTGGATAGTCTTGCTAATGTTTTTCTCTACTTAATTTGTAGTGGCATGATGGTGAAGTAAAGGGGTCTAATTTCACTGTGAAAAAACGAAAGACAGTGGCAGAGAGGGCCATGAGTAATTATTTCATCATTTGTTAGAGACAAAGGCTAGAAAAACCACAGAAGTCACCATTTCTAAAATGATGTTAGCGCTGCTAATGTAGTTATGACTAACTGGAATCATTACAGGATCATTTGATTTGCTTGTGGTTATAGAACATGCAGTATTATTTTGGTTCTGACTATTGATCCATTTTAGAAGGTATATCCCCTCCCCACCCCACCACCACCATCACCAAATCCCACTGGACCAACAAGCCTGTAACTATTAATAAAAAGAAGTCGTACTGGATATTACTGAGAGTACCGAGCATATAAACAGTTAAAGGAAAAAAGAATCCGATGCTGTGACCTTTTGTTTCAGTGAAATGGTGGCTACCTTCTGTGATATGACTCGGCCACTCCAGAGAAGTTCCTGACGTCGGGGGAGTAGGACCGATTGTGTCTGTGAGGCTGGCAGCCTCACTCACTGGTTCCAAGTGAGAACAGACCCAGAAGTAACATCCACTCCAACCCGATCAGGTAAGCCCGGATTACATTTCCACATGTGTGCAACTCTCCAGGGTGCAGTACCCTTATAGCTGCCTTTCCTCCACATGTTTTTCTAATTCTGAACTGCTCATAATTCTTAGCAAATTCCCATTCATGAAATCTGTCCATACATGAAACCTGTCCATAATATGACCCCCTTTGTTTTACATATACAATTTTTTAAATGTATTTAAAAAAAAAAAAACGAAACAAACCCTTATTTTGCTGGAACCCCTCCAGTTTTTCACATCTTACATGATCATTGCATTATTATTTTTGTTTGTTTTGAAAGGCATGGTTTCTATTGCTATGGTGTGCAATAGCAAAAAAGGCAAGATTTCTTTTCCATTGGTCTGACACTTTTCCCTGTCTAGGCTTTGGAGTTCAAAGTTCATGACAGCCTCACTAGTAGAAACCCCCAAGGCTTAGGCTTCCATTTCCTGGTAACCAGCCAACCAGAAACATCCCTTGGTGGCCATGCTAAGATTCTTTAACCAGGGTCATCCTGCATTCTTCTCCTCCCGCCCCACCCCCACAATGAAACAAGATAACCCCCCATATTTCTAAATGTATCAAGGGATACCACTTTTTCTCACAAGTTTAAATAGGACAAGCATATATACTCACTCTCAGCATAAAGTATATCTAAATAATGTATTTTCTATTCTAGTGGATTTTTTTAAAAAAATATTTTGTTAAAGTCTTTGGGACTCCATCTTGGTTATCTCCCACTTATAAACACATGTTCCCCCTATGCTTCAGGCTGTGTCAGAAAGGGAAAGAATATAAAATCAACAGTTGCATTTTTTTTTTTTATTCCAAACTTTGGAATTTTTATTCCAAATTTCCCTTTAGCCCTCCCAAGTAGTGCTGACTGACTCTCCGGGTGACAGGGCTTTGTGTCCGAGCCCCTGGAGTCGTGGAGTGTGGAGCAAAACGTGGGTCCTAGGGTGGGAGTCGGGGAAAGGCCACAGCACACTGGCACTCCAGCAAAGCCAAACCACATCTCCTCTGGCCACTGACCTCTTCACCTTGGTACATGCTGTGCCCCAGAGGATATCCAAAGCTATTCAATTATGTACTCATCAACCCTGGCTTGTCAGCCTTGGGGAAGGTCACTTTATTCATAAAAATGCCTCTTTGAGTTTCTTAAAAAAAAAAAATAGTTGTAGCACCACGGTGATCTATATCCAAAGGAAAACAAATCTGGTGTACACTGTCCAGTCACCAAAAAATATTAGAGGCACTCATACGTACACACCCCCACCAAACTTAATTTTCTTTGATTTCACACTTGCTCTGTGCTAGCATTCCAGCACCCTACCCACCTCCTAGAAAAAAAGGCTTCTTTGACGGAGCACACATTTTGCTGTCAAGAATGCTTTAAAACAGTCATCCTAAAAAAAAAAAAAAAAAAAAGTGTCTGAACCTTTCAGAAGCCTGTTCATTTATATACTCCTAGAGGAAATGGTGTAATATTATATCCGTTCTTAATACCTCCCCTCTGGACCTCACATGGTGACATGATGCCCTTACAGACCTGAACGAGAAGGCATCGATATTGCATGGCAGAGTAGAACCCTCCCGGGCCTCGATGTCACCGGCTGCCTCTGACACAGTGCGCTAATGGAGGTGAGCGCTTAGAGGAGAAAGCACAGGAGCTGATGACCACGGGTGTCACTACGACAACTCGGCATTTTCATCTGGAGTCCATTTAATTTGGAAGGGGTGAGAAACGTCAAGGGCAAGGGCTGGGGGTGGGGTGAGGGGAGGGAGGCAGCAACTACTTTAGCCTCCCACCTTGGCCCCAAGTTGTTGCTTAGAATTCAGGCTGAAAGAAAGAAAACAAAAAAATCTGACATCTGCCAAAAAACCAATCACAAGTCCCTTCTTAGTATGAGCAGTTTAGGTGGATCTCTGGTGTTCCAAGACCCTGATGTTTGCTGTGACAGGTGATGGGAGGAGGCTGTGCTATAATGTCAAAAGCATCGCCAGGAGGAACAGTAGGATCGCCAAAAGGCGGCTGGGTATCCTTGGTGTTTGTGCCGCGTTCTCGCCGCGGGATGGCTCGGCTGACTCATGTACGGTGTCATCTGTTCAAATAGAAAGCACACGTTCCAGTGAGATTTCACATCCTTAATAACTCTCTCGTAGCAGCCTGCTGTTAACAGACCTCGCCACCCTCTGCAAAGTAAGGTAATGAACCTTGTGCCACCATTGACTTTCATGTCTGCATAATCACTCATTATTTACAGCAAACCAAGGAGAGGCAGACAAAATTGGACTTCTCAGCAATCGTAACAGTTCCCTTAAAAACCGAGGGGAAGAACTGGGCACACACTGCATCCTTTGGCACGGAGGCTTACTTTTGGTTGGCTAGCAGTCAGACACACCTCGCACAAACATGAGCTACCTGACGGTACCTTTTAAACCCGGGGTGCCTTGGAGAAGCAAGTAACATGTTTGGGAGTTGGGGCAGTTACGTTGACATATTAGTGGTTATCAGGGATGGGCTGCCCATTTTTCTCTGTTCAGCAGTTCCCTAGCATCAGTGCCGAATGCCTGCTTGTCGGGAGCCTCAGTGAATTTTCAAATATGAAAAAATGCCAAGACAATAGCATTTAAAATAAACTATACATAATGCCCACTAAACTTCAGTGAACCAGTACTGACCGCTGTGCCTCAATTATGGTACTGTTTCCATTACAGACCCTGTAGAGCTCCAGAGTTACGTGACTTGAACTTAACTTTTTTTTTTTTTTAATTTATCAGACTGAAGCTTGGTACATAAATGATCATCATGGATGCAAATCTTCCTCTAAATGGATTAAATGAGGTAAGCTTCTGTAGCTATAAAGTGTTCTGTGAGGTTATTCTGACTTGGGATAGCCTTCCTGCCCTGCGTGATTAACAGGCGCTTGGAAGCAGGAACTTTGCAGTAATTAGTACCCAAAGATAGACTGCAGGCGTGCCTCCGAGCCATGCTAGGCTCTAGCATCGCATATCTAGCTTCCTTCCACCTGGCCCAACTTATGCTTTTAGACTTTTAGACTAAGTGATCTCTGAACTACATGTTCTTCGGGCCAACAGAGGGTTTCTGGGGGAGATTTCATCATTGGGGAACCTTCCTGGGGGAGCTCAGCAGTTGTCATCCTGGCTTCGCTCAAGGGTCAGTCAGAACAGTGACAAGTGAGACTCGAGTAGGTCTTTTCAATTTTGGCGACCTCAAAGGAAAATCCTTAATTATCCCTGAAGGGCCCACCTCAGATCCCATAATGGAATAAATTATCTGTTGGTCTAAACTCTTATTTTCATACCACACAACATGTCCCAATAAGGATGCTTTTTCTTCACTGGATGGAGTCACACTTCCTCTTTTTTGTCCTAAAAAGTGACTACTTTTCGGCCTCTGCTTCAGATATGCTCATGGCTGTCTCTGTTCGTCATGTATATGAACTAAGAAACATATGTTCTCAGCACTGGGTCTTCTGCCCTGGAGGGCTCTTATGCCAGCCTGTCATCAGGTAAAGCTGCTGCACCCCTCTGCGATTTGCTCCCCTCTCCTGGCCCTTAGCAAACCTGCATAGCGAGACTAGGAGACTAGAAAAGGTTAGGAAGCAAGAATGGGAAGTGGATGCAGAGGCAAATACAGAGCCCCACATGGTTTAGCAAATACTGGTGGACTCTTTTTTTCAGTCTTGCAAGGGGACGAAGTCTGTCGTTAACAGGAGGCAGACGTAAATGCCCTTAATAGTCCTGAAACTAAAATCCACATCACTTTCTTAACAGCACCAATATGTTGTTAAGCAGCAGAATAGCATACAGTACTTAAGGCTTCACTGTGAAGGAACCATACACCCCAAGGATTGCAGAGTTCACTTTGAAATACCACTTGTGTTTACATTCCTGAAATTGTATCAGCTATTGGGTTCTCCTCGACCTTATTTTTTACTAAGCTATTACTGAGTCCTCATCCTTATAAAGGTTGGAAGTGTACTGCTAACAGGTACCCTAGTGACACTTAGGTACTCAGTATGAGCCTGACGGGGAGCCTGCCCTCTCTGTCCCTCTGGGTTGAATGAACGTGGCAGGGCATTGATAGAAAAGCATTTGTTTTCTGTATAAATGAGTCTCAATGTGCTTTTCAGTCCTCTAATCATGGACAGTCTTTGGAATTAGCCCTTTTCTAAGCAACCAACCAAGAAGTAATACTGTGATGCCCTCAAAGGGGACACATCTGTCCACGAGGGTCTTGCGGTTCTTCTGTCCTCCCTGCAGCATGCTGGTCCCAGCTCAGGAGTATACAGAACATCCTTTGATTACAAAAGGGCCTCAGGGCCGGGAGAGTCTATGTCCCCCAAGAAGTACAATGAGAAACGGGCTGCTGTGTGGGTAAACCTGAACAATTTCAGAATTCCAAGGAGGAATTCAGAAGCAGTCTGTCCCAATGGAATCACCCTTAACTGTGAAAGAGTCTCGAACACTTGTCACAGTGAATGTGGCTTGGAAGCAGAAAATAGTCCTCTTCAAAAGCCAAGTCAAGGCTGGCCTGGCTACAGGATTCCACAACTTGAGGGGTTCGATGGTTAACTGCGAGGACACCAGCAATATTTTTGGAGCATATTATGTGGCATATGTCTGCCCTGAGAGCATCCTGTATCCCTGATGATAGGAAACTGGCAGGCAGAGTGTGCAGGCAAACGACAAAGACAAACACATTCCAAAGACAGGTGAGTTAGTACACATATCCAAGAACATGCAGGGGGTCCTTTCAGGCTCGCTGGCCTCATAAAGTCTGGGCTTACACTCAGCCATTCCGCACAGTGATGCAGAGCTGGCAATCTACATTTCCTGGGGAATAATGCGAAGTACTCACATTTATTATTGCATTTATAGAGGCAGGGATCATAGCTCAACCTTGACTTAATGTTTTCAGTGAAGATGCTCACCAGAAAGCTCTAAGATACAGTCACGACTGACCAAGGGGCTCTTCCTGCAAGAACACCTATGCATGTCCACACCCCACCTCCACACACACATTCTCTCTCTGGCTACCTTCTGTCCAACTTTTGCAAACTTCCATCAGTTATATGTGCATAGATTTGGAGCCCATCATGGATTTTAAATGCTCAGTGGAAAAGAGCCTGTTTCCCAAAGGACAGTGAAATATGCTCATGTATGAATGCCTCTCAGTATCTTACGTTTTATCATTAGTTGAATTCAAAGGTAATTTTCCTATTGTCAGAATAGCCCTCAGTGTGCCTCTTCATTACCAGAGAAAAATATACTATAATATACTATCGGTTATGTTTCTAAACAGCCTCCTGCTTTCTTGATAGGCAATGGAATTTACCTGGAAATGAGATTGGAAAAAGATGCCAACATTCTGCAACAACATGCATGAGAAAATCATAATTCAGGGTAACTTATGTTTATAACATGCCTAACTCTGCTGGTCATGCTATGCATTGACAAAGCCAAGAGAATAAAGTTCTCTTTATCAACATCTCTAGTAACAGGTAAGAGAATCCTACTTTTATATTAACATTGGAATGGGAGTTGAGAGATCCGAATATTAAACCTGGATCTGTCTTTAACTAGCTATGTGACCCAGACACATCTCAGTTAAAAGAGATCCCACCTAAGTCACAGATCCTATGTGAGGAGTCTGGTGCCTTAAAAAGCCACAGTGATGCTTCCAGATTTCCAGGACACAATTAAAATGTCTCCACGTCAGCACTCATTCCTCGCAGCTTTCTAAAGGGCTAACTGATCCCTGGGGGGGCCGCTAAGGACTCTGAGAGCTTATTGTGCACACCTCTCATTTGCACTCTGGGTAAGATGTCTGCCTTAGGTGTTTCCCCTAAGCGTTCTTGTTTTTCTAACTCCTCCTGTCAGTTACAATGCTGAAAGCGTATGTCCTGAGGCATCGCATTTACTCAGGCTGTTTCCCTAAAGCTCAATGACTGTGTGTCCCAGTAGCAAAACTCAAAGTGGACCTCACAATCCTTTAATTTCTAGGACCATAAGAATGAGAAGTCCTACTACAAATAGATTTTTAAAAGTCTATGTTTACAGAAGGGTCGGGGGACTCCCATCTTTCTCTGAAGAGGAAATAACTTTTATTTCCCTTAAGCTTTGAGATGTTCATAGGAGATGGACATACAGGGGTCACTGAGGCACACTCCTCAATGGCTGGGGGCTCCGCCCCTCACAAGCTGTAGTTGCATTAAATAATCTGATTGAATTTACAACCGAGGGGATGGTTTACCTGTTTACATTATCTACAGTGTGTTACAGTGTAAATCCTTCAGGGAGTACTTTTGTGGGTGCTATTGTTCCTCGGTGATGGGAAATTCTGGATGTGCGGAAGTTAGTAGTAAAAAATAAAATCTTCCCTAGTACTTGTTTTGCCTCAGCAATCAAGGATCACATTTGGCTCAACAGACCACTAAATACATTTGTGGGAACAGCAGGTGTGTGAATTTGTGGTATTATGGAGACAACATGATTATACTCCTCTAAATCAATTGCTATTGACAACAGCACAAATCATATTTGAAATACAATGAAGTTCTTTAGATCACTTCAATGATGCATGTGGATTTCTAGAGAAAACCTAAATATGTTGACTTCGTTGCTATTTTCTGCAGTAATCTTATTAGTTTCATCCATAGATTTGGACAGGATATAAAATAAAATTTTATAAGCATATACACAATAGAAAATTGTTCTGTCTTATATGAAAACAGATCCATTAATATTCACAGTGATTCACCAGCATGCTTGGAGGATATGGTAAAAAGTAGTGAGAATTTTAGCATTCTGATGGGGCTTCTACATTAGGATACTGCATTGTGATACTGCATTGTATCAAACCCATGTCCAAAAAAGAAAAGCCGTATTTTATCTAACATGCACTACACAAAGATACGGGAGGAATGAGAAGAATATAAGTAATATTAGCATTGCTAGCAATGAGCGAAAAGCAGAGCAACTCTACCATGCGAACATGCAGAGAGGAGGAAAGGAAAAAAAGTTACTGAAGCACCAGAGAGATGCATTTGTTAAAAGAGAGTCTCTAAGCATACTAACCTGCTGGTTCTAATGAATTTTCTACTTTGTCGTTAACATCGAAAACACGATCATGAACACCTATAGTTTTCATACAGCTATCTATAACAAAAATAGAGATAACAGCCAAATATGTTAGTGAAGACACCCTTCAACTCCCATTTCTTTTTTTCTTTCTCTCTATTTTTTTTTTCCTTTTACTTATGGAGAGATTGTTTTACAATCAATGGCATGTATCCAAATGCCAATAGTATTCCCACTTGCTGTGCGCGTACAACAGCCTAAGAAACAACAAGTTAGCAACTGCTGTGTACTTAAAATAAAAGCATCATGAAGAATGAATGATGAGAAAAAATTTGATGAAAACAAAAACGTGGATGTTGATATACAAAACAGATACCACACGGGATTTAACAGTAAAAAAAGCTTTACCGCTGTGAACCAGACCACACAATAAAGCATGCGCAGTGAAGCCACCCTCTGAAGCTGGTTCTGGTGAACTTACTTGTGGGTCTCACAAAGACTTTGAGCTTCAGACATGACCTTCTTCCGTTGTCTGGGATTGCAGAGGCTGTGGATAAGACAAAGAGAGCAGGAGGAAAAGGGAGAACAACAGATTACTCTTCGTTTTCAAATGCATACAGTCTACAATTCGTTCTTCCCTGAACAAGAGGAGCCTACTCTTAATTCGTCCCAGAAGTGAAAACGAAAAGAAATACATTTCAGATTAATATAGACTGCTACAGAAACAGCTACTTTTCTACCCCCGTCTTCTCTCTTCAATACAAGAAAGTCATGCAAGAATGCTGGTAATCTACAGAAAAACACTTGGGATTTTTATTTCAAAGGCTCTCCCATTTAACTTGATCTGTTATCAATTTTCTCTAAAAGAAGAAGATAATGCGTGAGCCTTCCTGCTTTCGCAGAGCTCCACCTCCTCGACTGCAGCGAAGGGGCCCAGCAGAACCCAAGGTGAAAGTGCTGGCAGAAACCAATAACCGCCAGTTACAAGGCCAACTTCAACATCACCTACTTCTGCTGGGGAAAGCAAAGCTTTGTCCTGAAAGCCTGTCTGTCAGTGCTTTGCAGGTAATTCAATTAGAGGTTTTACTCAGAACTTGGCTCCACATTCTATGTGACTAAACCGAGTCCAGCAACTTCCATCCTGCTCTTATAAGTACAATATGCTATTGAGGGAGTCCTGTGCAATGGGACATTTATTTTCAAAAATTTGCCACAGAGAAGGATGGAATTAATAAAGGGGGCTTACCAAAACATGACAACATGTTTCAAGTTATAAATCATTCGAGGAAGAAACTTTCTTCTCCTCTTCAAGATAATAAGACTGTAAACTTTCCCTGCATTTGAAAGATTATCTCCCCTCAGTACACACAGCATATGTCAAAGGGATTTCCAGGGGCTGCAGAACCCTTAAACATCACATATGTTTACTAATGCATGCTAGAAATGACAAAAATTACAGCAATGAGTGCTGCATACTCTCTTCCCTATGTGTTTGCTTCAAGTGGTTTCTTTGTTCCGAAAAAGCAGATGACATCAATCAAAACACACATGGCTCACAATTCGTTTGGTATTAATACCCTCAGTGACGAAGAGACGACGGGTGTTTGGTGTGACTTCTCATTCCTTTAATTTTACCTTTTATTATTCCTCTAGGGGAGTCCAGTAAATGAAAATGCTGATTTTGCAGGTGAGAGGACTCAGGAAGCAAATTCCAAACTAATTTTACATGAATCGCCTCACAAAACGCCAGGTCCATGTCCTCTTCGAGGAGGACTTCTAAATTCACCACCTAAAAGACATGGAGCTGCACAGAACCCCTAGTGGTGCTCTTCAGCACCTGTTGAAAACTCTTCTAATTCTAAGACAAAAGTACACAGAGATGTTGTCGGCCCTCCCCATCTCCCCTGTTCACTCTGACAAGCAGTTAAGAAGTGTTAACAGCTGGCTTTGCTGTAGGCTTTCATTAAATCAAAGTCGGTAAAACTCCCTCTACTGACATTTACAGTAACGGGTGTGTTAATTTAGGGCACAATATTTGCACTCTGTGGTTTGATCCAGGAAATGGTGTCCTTCCCGTGGACCCCGACTGCAAATGTGCATGTGACAAATACAGTGCACATAGGTGACTCCCATTCATTAGGAAAACCATGGCTCTCGAGACAGCTTCTGTCTTATTCATGAGAGGTGGTGTGGAAAAGTGACACACAGGTATTGACACTGTCATTCTGTGGATTTCTGAGCTGAGGTGAACTCACTTGTGAACTTGATTTGCACTGATTTTACTGATGACATAGCAAGAGATTAAGAGGCTCGAGGCAGAATCAAATGTTTAATTGTTTTAGTGGGGGAACTTCTTGGAATGAGTGCAGGTCTTTCAGATTTATATGTAGGAGAAATCCTATAAATCCAGGACATAAAAATCACTGTTAAGTTGCCCAGGAAAAACCAAAGAGTTCTCGCTCATCAGCCCTCACAGAGGGACAATTAGCCCCAGCTATTGAATGGGCTACATTCTTTTGTGAATTAATGTAAAATGTACTTATATTTATGTAAAATAAAAGCCTCTCTTTCCCCTCTTTCCCATCAAACTTCTCCATTAGTTCCTCATCTCTATCACCATAAAAGCTGTAACAATGATAATGTAACTGACACCTTATGGTACCCTTTGACTATATTAAACGCTAGTCCTTAGAAAAAATGAACAAAGACTAAAAACACATAATGTGAGTACACAATGCAGATTACATTAAATCAGTTGACTTTACAATCTGACCTGATCTCAAAGTAAAATCTTAACCCTTAGAGCTAACCTGAGAGGGTGTGCCGTGCTAGGTCAGTATAGCATGGGTTCCTTATTTACCATGCTGAATAAAGCATAAAAATTTTTTAAATGCTTGTTTATCCATTTATCAGAAAAACCATTTTTTATGCACGGCTTAAAAAAGAGTGTGGCTTTATTCCATGTTATGTTTCAGGTTTCTTAACTCCACAGCCCTTGGCTAATGTAGCATGCTTTTATACCACTCACAAATATAGATTATTAATTATTAGTAATATTTGAAGATATAAGGTAATATAAGAATGCTCCACTAGTCACAACAAAAAGAGGGTTGAGTATTAAAAACACAAAATAACAGAGGCATTGAAAATGTAATATTCACACAAGTAAATTAACAAAGAAAATCCTCTCAGGATCAATATGAGCAACCTCTCAGGATCAATATGAGCAAAAGAATTGAACATGGGCATGAGGGAATAAAAACTTAAAATGTCAGGTCAGTAATAATAATCCCTATGATTCTACACACATCACTATATAATGACCAATATTATCTTAGTTAAAACAAAATTTATAGTTAAGTACTTATGCTGCTTTCCTTAGAAAATTAATAATGAAATTTGAAAACTGATAATGAATAATTACTAATATGTATTATACCAGGGGTGCCAAAACAAATGTATACACATTTTTAAGAGATCTTATCTATGCTCAAGAAGTAGTTCGTCCAGTGTCTGGACGCTGATGGCAACCACTTTGAGCACCTCTTGTAATTGCAGAAGTCAAACGTGACTTGTGTTCATCTTTTGTCATTGGTATATATTGAGTATTATAATTAATACCATTTTTTTCCTTTCTTAAAATGTGTATACATCTTTTTTGGCTTCCTCTGTCTATTACTGCAGCTTCATCCATACATCCAAATGCTTTTAAAATTCCCACTGTGTGCCAGTTACCCTATTAGGTGCTGTGGATACAAAAGATGTATAGGACAGACTGCTCCTATCCTTGCACTGTGCTTATTCCAGCTGGGGACATAAATATGAATGGCAGTTTAGGGCACCAGCAGGATCCGGGTGATGACTGAGGTCTGCCTGAATTGCCAGCCCAGCTTTGGGCAGGGAGTTAGCTTTGTCTGGGAGGGGGAGGTGCCCCACACATGTTTAGCAGAGGGAATTTTACTGAGGCTCTATAGGTCCTCTGGAAGCTAACCACTCACAACTGGGACAAAAGAATGAAAACATTTCATCCCTAAGTTCCCAAATTGGAGGTTTAGCAACCAAAAAAGAATTATTAACCTGCAACAAGTAAAGAAAACCTAGACCTGAACGCTTCCTATAAAGGTATATGAATTTTCTCATAGAACTTGTCAAATGAGAATGGGAAATTCAGCTCACGTCTTAAACATTTGTCACACAATCCAAAGTCATAGCCCTTGACTCAGTTTACTACTGAACGTGTACATTTGGAGGCAGGGAGCGGGGAGTAGGGGAATGGGGACCATTAAAACAAATCCACGCTCCCACTCCATGATCTTAACAGTAACTTTATGAATCAATCCATAGGGTCCCTTCCCCACTAATGATCTGCAAAGTACCAATCAAATCCTTACAACACATAATGAAATATAACCTGGGGGCCCTCTGGTTCTCTGTTTAGAGTATCATGCTAATAAGCCTGCAAGGGCTGCTCACCTTCTCTCTGTTCCCATGACTTCAGACAGGGGCTGTACATTCAGCCCTTCCTGAAAACCCATTTCCGGGGTCTCCTGGGGCTCAGGTGAGCCCTGCTCAGCACTTTTCAGCCAATTTGATACATAAAGGGGACCACATTCAATGCCCCCAAATCACTACTCCCAAAAGCTCGATTTAGGATTGCAAATATATGTGATATTCACGTCACAATTCACTATAGGCCTCTCAGTCAGAGGTGGCATGAGAATGCTGGCATCGTGCTCCTGGTAGGCAGCTTCTGATCTGACTCCAGTGGTCTCTCCTCCTCGAGTGCTGCCTCAGTGTATTCCGCGCCCCTTGAGTGGGCTGGACCTAGTTTCTTGCTTTTAATGAGCAGAATTCAGCAAAAGTGACGGGGTGTCTCTTCTGTGATTATGTGGCAAATGACTGGCCTCCCTCTAGCTCGCACTCTCTCTCGTGCTGTCTGTCTTGCTCGTGAAGCAAGGTGCTGTATTGTGAGACTCTCAGTGGAGAGGCCCACATAGCAAGGAACTGAGGGGAGACTTCCAGCCAAGGGCATTCAAGGAGCAGCTAGATGCCTTAGTGCAGCAACCTGCAAGGAACTGAGGACAATCATGTGAGTGATCTAGGATGAGAATCCTTCTCAGCTGAGCCTTGAACTCACTGTTCTCCTGGTGAGAGGACCCAGCTATACGGCTCCTGGATTCCTCACCCACCCTAACTGTGAAATAATAAATGCTATTTTAGCCACAATTTGGGGGTCATTTGTGATTTGATTGAACCAGGACAATGCTGTATATAAACGACTCCGTGCAATCAAAGGCTCCCCATGCTGGCGAGAGACCTGAGGACAGAGCCGCTGCTGTGTACTCTGCTAAAAGCCTCCTTGCCTTGCTCCCACCCAGCAGCTCCTGCCTTATTCTGCTGCCTTGTCTAAACAATCGCATCCCTTACTAGTTTACTTCTCAAGCTACTGTTACAAGTTCACTTAAAATAGGCCCCGAAGAATGGTAATTATGAACTGCTGTTGAGGAAATACTACAAGACACATCTATTTGTTTTCACTCCAGCATT